GCCCTCGGGAATTGAGCCCCTAAAGAACAGCGTCCTTATCAAAAGCTCTCGCCCCTTGCCGTTCCCAGAACAATCGAACTGAGGAAAACATCAAGGCTGTCCTCGAGAAGACCTGCGCGGCCTGCCCTGCCATCGAGAAGTGCCAAGAGGTCATCGACGAACACGTAGACGAGCTCTTCGAGCTCCTCAAGAAGGAAGTCACCGTGGACAAAATTTGTCGAGCCATCGGTCTCTGCGGCTCCCGAAAGTCGGCGGTGAAAGCTCCGAAACCTACCTGCGCCGAATGCGAGCAGATCGCTGGCTACATCGTCGAGGCCTTGAACGTAAGTCCGATCCGGCACGTAGATAGTATGTAGATAGTCCATAATATGTATGAGGTACCCCAGGAGCTTGCCCTCGAGAGGATGAGCTTCGACATGGAAGAGTTCCACGCTACGAGCTCCCGAACCTTGCCGCTCCCAGGACAATCGAACTGAGGAAAACATCAAGGCCGTTCTCGAGAAGACTTGCGCAGCCTGCCCTGCCATCGAGAAGTGCCAAGAGGTAATCGACGAAAACGTGGACAAGCTTTTCGAGCTCCTCAGAGAAGAAGTCACCGTGGAAAAGATCTGTCAAACAATTGGCCTCTGCGGTTCCCGGAAGTTGGCCTCGACCCCGGTTCGATCTCCGGAGCGAGTCCAAGGCCAGACATGCGAGCTTTGCCGGACCGTAACGCACTTCCTCATCGACGAGCTCAAGGTGCGTTTCTGAAATCGATATAATCCTGTGTGCCTCCATGGAATCGTTGCTCGCAAAGTGACGGCGCGTGCTCCCATCCCTAACTAAGGTCAATCCCCCCTGCTGCAGGACAACAAGACCGATGAAGCCGTCCTGGAAGTCCTGGAAAGAGTCTGCAAAGTTCTGCCAGTAGATCGCGTCGAGTGCGACAACGCCATCGACACCTACGGTCAGATAATAATCTCGATGATCCGACAGAATGTCTCGGCTGACCAGATCTGTTCCGCGATCGGTCTCTGCTCTTCCCGGATGATCGCAAAGAAGGTCGGGAACGATCAGTGCAACGTCTGCGTCCTGGTCACCGGATTCCTCATCGATGAACTCAACGTGAGTATCCATCGTCGAATCGCGACCTCCTTCCGTTAGGGCAGGGATTCAAATCCAAGATTTCAAGAGTAGACGTGCCTCACGCAATAGATTGTGTTCCCCAAGAGAGAATATCTCATTCATAGGACAACAAGACCGACGCAGCCGTCATTGCGGCCCTCGAGAAGGCCTGCAGCATCGTCCCCGTCGACAAAATCCAGTGCAAGAATTATGTCGATGTGTACGGAAGCATGGTCATCGAAATGATCAAGAACAATTTGAGTGCCGATGAGATCTGTTCTTCGCTGGGATTCTGTTTCACCCGGAAGCCCCCGGTCTACGAAAGTGCGTAATCATTGTGCTCCTTAATTCTGCTCGCTGTCGCCAAACTTTCGAATGCGAACATATAAAATAAAGCCGTGGCCTAAATGTCTACTAACTGCATGTCTACTCACCTGGGATTGTCAAAATATGTGTGATAGGCCTCCGCATTCAATGAAATCGATCTGTAAATGCATGACGCCTCCTGTAGAGCCTTTTACTGTCGAAAAATGCATCGAGGAGATGTGAGAGACTCTCTTGGAATGCAAGCTTTCTTCTCCTTCGATTCGGCATCCCCCACGAATTGTCCGGAGTCATTTCCGCGATGCCGCGTACGAGGGGAGCTGTTGCATGAAAAGTTCTCCGGAACTTATCGCATCCAGATGCTTTGTTTTGTCAAGGCGTCGCAGGTAAGGATCTGTTTCGGATTATTCATGTTTCAGATCAAGTCTGTCCACTCTGCGAAATCGCTGTAAACGTAGTCGAGGAGGAACTCCGGAACAACAACACGCAAAAGCAGATTGAAGTCGCCCTGGAGAAAGCTTGTTCGCTAATGCCCAAGAGGGATCAAGAGTCCTGTCGTAACATGGTCAACGTCTACACTGCGTACATCATTGACATGGTGGAGAGTCTCGCCACAGCTGAGCAGATTTGCCAAACGCTCGGTCTATGTCCCACGCGTAAGTCTCCCGGAAGCTGCGTATACCGTATACCTGACGATCCGCGATGGGCCCTCCAGAACTAAATTTCTTTTCTGTTCAAATAAAGCTCCAACTCCTCCGAAGTGCGAAGTCTGCTTATATATCACCAACTTCGTCGAGTCGGAGCTGGGTGACAATCGCACGGAAGCTCGTGTCCAAGAGCTGCTCGGCAAAGTCTGTAACGTCATTCCTAACATGGACGTCGCGCAGTGCAAAGCGACCGTCGAGCAGGCATCCGACATGATCATCACTCTTCTTCTCCAAATGGTGCCCCCGAGGAAAATCTGCGAAGAGATCAAATTGTGTCCGGCGTCGTCGAAGCGAGACCTTTCTCCCAAAGTTTCCGTATCGACTTCTGAACAATGTACGTTCTGCAAGTGGCTCGTGACCTGGGTCGACGACAAGCTTCAGGACAAACGGACTGAGGTCAGTGCCTCTCAAGGCGTTATCGGCCGACTGAGATAAGCAGAAGCTACTCTTCTGTCACTTGGGATCCGCGATCCCGCTCAGCCCCGAATCTCTCTATCCCTTCCAGGCTGTCATCATCAAAGAGTTGGACGCGGCCTGCGATTTACTCTCAGACGCGGGGAAATGCAAAGACATGGTTAACGACTACGTCGACATGATTGTGAAGATGCTCGTCATCTACGCTGAGCCCGAGAAAATCTGCGAAGCCATCAAGAAATGTCCGGCGAAACAGCTTACAAAAGACGAACCTCCGTGCCGTTATTGTCGGTACGTCATCGATGAGCTACGTAACGATTTCCAGAAAACTGAAGCCGAACTCAAGGATAAACTCGATGGGATTTGCCGAGTGATCCCTGTCGATGCCACAGCCTGTCAGAGCTTCGTGGACCGATACGCCGATCAGATAATCTCACTGATCCTGAGCGATACGGATCCTGAGAGAATCTGCGAAGTTCTCGGCGTCTGCCCCAAGAAAATCAAAGCCTCCAGTACGAAGTGTAACTTCTGCCGAGAAGTGATGCACTTCATCACCAACGAGATCAAGGACGAGGCCACGGATGACGAGATCGTCGCTATGATGGCGAAAGCGTGCAACCTCTGCCCGGCCGCTCATCGAGATGATTGCCAGCGCATGATCGAGATCGAAGGACTCGTAATCGTGCGAATGATAGCCGAAAACATCGACCCCGAGTCTATTTGCGAGGCCGTGAAATATTGTCCGGGGTGAGCGTTTTATTCGATCCTGTGTTTGGTTCGATTTTCCGTTTTCTCACATTCCCTCTGGCAACGGCCTAATTCCCCCCAACGAGAACTCCGAATGACGATTCGGCTTCCTCCAGGAGAGGGGATACCCACAAACTCACCTGCACTTGGTGTCAATACGCACTGCACTTCCTCCAAGAGAAACTCTACGATAACTCCACTCAACAAGCCATCCGGGAAGAACTGCAGAAGATGTGCTCGCATCTCCCGACACCCGAAATGAATGCCGAATGCAGAGAATTCGTCGATATCTACGGAGCTTCGCTCGAAGTGATCATCGCCCAGGAGTGAGTCAATTAAATCCAATGAGACTCGTATCTCTCGCGCCTGAGATCCTCGGTGTAGGGGATCATGTCTATGGGGCCTATGAGTGAATAGTCTGGATCCAAAATTCGACCAATCAAGGCCTCGGGTAATTTGGATCGGTGCTCGTGGGACCAAACGATCGCGAGAGTCACTAAATCGAGTTCCTCTTCAGTCTCGACCCGAGTGTCATCTGTCCGGCAATCCACGCGTGCCCCGCCCGCAGAGCAATCGAGAAACCTGTTCGTCGGACTCGCTCGCAGAAGTGTCACGATTGCGTGTCGACCCTCCGATCATTCCGCCATAGTCCGACTCAAATCTGCACGGAAGTCGCTCCGCAGTTTGCCGCCAAGGTGCGTGATTCCAGAGAGGATTTCTAGCTGTTTTCGAACCCAAGTCGAGGGCCGAAACATTATAATTAAATTCTCGCTTCAGTGTCCCGATGCTTCTTCCATTGGGCTGCGGGTTGTGGACGCCTTCGAAAGCGACTTCAGGATCTGTCAGGTATACCCTTTGAGTAAACTGTACATGAATTCAAATGGTCTTCAACTCTTGACGGGAACTCCGGCGGGAGGATAAGAATCGAGACGGAAATCCGAAAATAAATGATGAGAAGAAAGAAGTTGAGCATGAACTTAAGCACTCCAATTTCGGGATTTCAGTATGCCAAATCTTGCTCGAAATTGAGCGGCCGCTTCAGCTGTAACCGGGGAGGGTGCCAACTCGTACGCTGAGGTGAGCGTCTTCTGTTCATTTCCGAGCTCGGCCTTCGACCCAGTTTTCCTTTACCTGGGCTCGGGGAAGATAAATGTCCAATGTATTATTGTTATTCTCCCAGAAGCTGAATGCAATTAGGCCTAGAATGATGGAGCTCACTGTGGGGCTACCTTGCTAGCTCGGACTCGTTTCGGGATAGAGCCCGGACCACAAGTTGCAACGACGGTGTAAGATTAATGTAAAAGGGGAGCGCATATGTTTGCAAGTTGTCTGTGCGACCGCTCGGCCGCGCAGAGTCTGGATCCACGGCGGTACCATGTGTTACGAGTGAGTCGTACAAAGAAGCACACTGTTGTTACGACGAAACTTTAATAATTCGGAGTCGTGATTTTCAGATGTTGTGCCAATAATACAGACCGCGCCGAGAATCGATCATCAGGGATGACTCAAACGAGAGTCAGAAGAGCCGTTTCGAGCTTACGAGAAGCCGAAAAAATAATTCTAAGCTACATTTCGATCTTGTGTGAAATCTCTGAGGCGGACTTGTTCCGCATTTCAGGTCATCGAGTAATTTTGTAATAATGCCAGTCGTCCCGGATGCGATCCAGGCTCTGCTAATAAATTTTGTGCCCTTGTAGCAAGAACTTCCGTATGGAATTCTCAGGGGGTAACGAGAATTCCACTAGCCGCGGGGATCGACGGACAAAAATTCCGGATAGTCCAGATGCAAAACTTTGCGAAGTCGGCTTGCTGCTCAGTCGGACGCGATGCGGTTGCTAGGATAGTAGCCGCTCGTAGCTCTGATTGTTAGTTTCTCACTTTGGAAGGGCGAGCTCGCTCGAACAAACTCGAGCAAACTGCCGGAACGCTCATAGCAAACAACCAACCGGAAAACATTCATGACTCAAACCCGTCGGAACGTAGCCGACGTCCCGCGCGTCTGGGACTATGAACATATTTAATAAGGTGTTCCAAGGTCTCGTCGTTTCACATTTGTTAGTCCATGGCATCGAGAATGGACGAAGGCAAACATAACGCGCCATTCCTAAGTCTGTCTGTCTGATTATATTCCCATCGGAGACGGGGCTTTGAATCGAAAGAGCTCATGAAATTACGCGACGCTGTGAATCATAGCCCAGGTCGCGAGAGCGTAGAATCTATTTCTGCAAAATGAGGGATCGCGGGACAAGACGAGCTTTATACCATTATTGTGAACACGGGCTCGGAAGACAGAATTGTTATCCAAAAAGCCGAAAATATGGATTTTCCGCCCTCCTATCGACAGCCTTTGAAGACTAGCCCTCAGCGAAAACGCCGGCGTAGCTCCGAAGATGCCGTTCGTTCCCTATCATCCCGTGAAGCCCGTTCTTTCCCGACCGGGAGCGAAATATATATAACGATTCAGAGCCGATGCACCTCACGCGAAAGGGGTCACGAGCCGGTTCGGCCTCACGAATGAAGCCGCATCGCGGAGCTTGCGTCGCGCCGCACGAACTGTCACGGATCAGCAGGGAGCGATCTCCGCCGAGACACCGCTCGAAACGAGTTACTATCGTCGAATGTCGATTGCCAATCGACGAACCATCGAGTCAGTGACGAAGCGGCGCATCACTGGGCCAAGGATGACGTGTTCGAACAGGCAGATGTGGAACTCTGTCTGTCGACAGCTCCATCGAATTGGCTCTTTTCAGCTGAATTTGTGACACTTGATTTGGTCATCAGCTTCCGTCCTCATTGTTCTCGTCAAGTTGCCAATTCTCTTCTTCCTTTGCCCGCCCGAGTCTGCTTCCTTCCCGACGATACTACCGGATACTGCAAGATCCAAGTCGGGATGATGAGAGTGGGGAAAATCAGACACCAACCCAGCAGTCAATCACAAGCGATGGAGGCAGAAAGCCTCATCATAACGAAATCCGATGCAAATTGAAGTCGCGTCACCGTGCCACGCGGTCTCGAATATGAATGCGCTGTTTATTTGTTCGGCTGGATATGGTGCTGTCGCTGCCGTTGTAGTTCTCGTCGTTGTGCTGTCTCTCAGTCAGTCGCTCAAAGTCGGATGCTGATTCAAAATGTGCAGATGCAACCCCGATGTACTCCGATTTCTCTCTCTCCCTCTCTTGTCGTCATTGTCTCTTAGCGGACTCCCTGCATACAAATATATATCGCCGCATGGCGCATGTATTGCCGAACAGAAGCATCTCGGGCGAGGCTCGAGACACTCGACGGCGAGATCCGCATCAAACCAGTTGAAATTTCGGATGCGATGAAAGCGGAGTGAGAAACAATAGGGTGTCTCTGAAGCTACCCGCAGAATGAGCTTGCTTTGACTTTTGAATTTTATGACAATTTGCTTGTTTGACGCTCTGCCGGGATCGGCTGCTAATTCGATTTTTTTCGGAGCGGGCTGTTCGTTGTTCGTGAGTTCCTTTGTTTGTTTTTTGAATCGCACGGCTGAGCGAGCGAGAGACACCCGTGTTTTTATCATCACCCGGAGCGGAATCCTCCTCCTCGCGATTCGTGAAAGAATCCTCGAGGAAAAGGCTTGCCTGGATAGGGAGTTTTCATTACACGAAATTCTACGAATTCATCTCTCAGCTCCTCCATGCTAGCTCAAGATAGTCTCTGGGAAGAAATCGAGGCCAGCGTGACTTCAACTGAAAACTCGAGAGTCTCGAAATTTATTTCCATTTGGAGGGTGAGTCGATATCGACTTAGAGATGGTCAATTGAAGATTTAGAAGTCTTTGATTCAGAGTGCGGTTCTGTTAACTTATGTACCTAGCTAACTACGAAGCCTGTTAGTGGGACTACCTCGCTGGACATGGAAACCATAGCTTCCCCGTATATCTATAATTATACGATAGTCATCCTCTAATTTTACCTAATGATGAAGCCCTTCGAGTCATTTGGGAGCGCGAATCCCGTCGATGTATGCGACTGATCATAAATCGAAAGCTTTCTTGACGCCCGTCCGGGTGAACCCTCTCGGGGGACCGGAAGCCGGAAATCCTTCCTAGTATCTGGAACTCGCTCGTCGTACGCGTGGAATCGATTACTTCTTCTTGGTCCTGTAGTAATCATTACGATATCCTCCTTGATAGTACGGCGAGTAGCCGCCGTAACCGCCAGCATACGGAGCGTAGGAACTATAACGATCGTGGGGGAAGTAGGTCACGGATCTCCCGGAGGAGGGCGACGGTGTCGGAGGGAGCCCTGGAAGGGAGAAACATCAGGTGACTTCATAGGCTGCGAAGGAGGAGAATTCCCGAGGGCTTCAAGCTCGAAAATCGAGAACCGTGATTCTCACAAATTCGAGGAGAGAGACATCGAGCAACATTCGACGCCCAGAGAGGGATGACGCGGAATCCTAAGGCACGGGGAGCGAAGACATGGAGCCTTCTGTGAGCGAGATCGAGACGACACCGGAAAAAAATCACGGATATGCTCTGTCCGGATGCCGAAAACTCTCAGGTGAGTCTCCATTCCCTCATTCTAGCATCAAAATTGAGGGAGTAGCCTCCTTCACGGGAAGTTCCGTCTCAACTGGGGAGGCAACGATGCGGCAGGAGTGAGCGAGCGCTGAATGTTCGTGGCGAAAGAGTGCTCGCTTGGAGATATCGATATTTGAATACTCCCCAATGGAACTGAGCGGCGCGACTACCACCGGATTCAAAACTTTGTCGAACATGCTCCGGATCGCAACCAATCCGTGACCATCCGAAGGCTCCGGGACTCAGCCATTCCGGTCGGCTAAGGTCAGTCGGTCGGTGACTTCCAATCGTGACCGCCAAATCATCGGATAGCGGTCGGAAACTTGGCGGGAGCGAAATTCAAAAACTCGATTAGCCCATGAGACTCGGTGAGCGGGAGGAATTCGGAGGCCCACGCGGAAAGATTTGCGAGATCGGGCTGCGCTCGTGCAAATTGTCAAATGATGACACAATACCGAACGCCCGGCTGGGGCGAATGGCAGAAAAAATCGCGCTTTGAGTCGCTCATGACCATCCTTAATGACGCGTCAAAACCTAATGGAGATTGATGTATATTAGCGCTATTGTCTCCAATGGAATTCGTTGAAATGGCAGCGCGTATGTTTTTCTTGTTTCGAACACGACTCGTATTGTCCGTGGCAGAGGAAATTAGCATGTCGATCGACGCTCGACTGAATATGGACATTTGCGGGAACGGGAGGCAACGCGGTCCCCAGCTCCGCCGAATCAGGATGAGCGTGGCTCTGTTAGGTATGCCCTTGTGGTATGCCCACGGGCTCCAGGAGCCTCGATTGCCTCCCCACAGGTCCACGGAGGGATGTCAAATCTCGGGATGCGGAGGAAAAGATAAAAACATCAACACTTACAGAGATTACTGTGCTCGTAAGGAGCTCGGTAGTTCGACGATACGGGCGGATAAGGGGGATACGATCTTCGCTGGGCATCCCGTTGGGCTTCTTCTCGATTTTTGAGATCTTGACATTCGAAGACGTCTTTGCATGAGTATCCAAAGCCCCGTCCGAGTTTATCAGTCGAGTATCCGAAACGGTACGGATCGATTCTGGAATAGATATTCTTCCAACCGTGAGTTTCAGGCTCGGAAACCATAGGCCCTGGATCGAGGAGCAAGAGATGAGCTCCGGTCTCCGAATGGAGGATCTCCTTCTCAGTCACAGGCTCGAAGCAGACGCAGCTCTCGGGACGAGTGCAGGTGGAACTCACCTGTTCAGGTAGTCATTGCCGTAGGGTGAATACGGGAGCCTACCGCCATAGGATCGGCCGTCTCGATTGTAGTAGGGATCGCGATCGTAGTACGGGTCATGGAAGCGCTGTCTCCAGGGTTCGTTATTGTAGGGATCGTAGCCTCGATAGCGATCGTAGTCATTGTAGAAACGACTCGGAGCTCCGTATCCTCCGCCGTAACCAGCCGGTTGAGGATATCCGCGGGGATCGTATCCGCGGTTGTAGTACCCGCGGTCGTCGTAGCCACGGTGGTCGTATCCACGATAATCCGGATAACGATAGTCAGGATAATAACGATCTGTGAAGCACAACTCACTGTCATCGGGGAATCGGGACACGTCTTTAAATTCAAATGGCGAAGATATCCAGACACGGCATTCATAATACGTGCTCTATGGAGCCCTAAATATCATGGCCGACATAAAATCCCCGATGCTTAGAGCGACTTGTTTTCATTTCAGGACGGACGAGACGGTGTGTTCATGCTCGCGCGACTAAAGGTCGGCATTCGATCGCGATATTTCGAATGATGATTATCGGAGGCAGCGGTCCTAAGGCCACGGTCGCTTTTATGATGAACACGTCCGTCGAACGTCCCGCTGATGGCTGTATGTTTCGCACTGTGAGTGAGTGATTGTGGAATCGCCGAGGGATTTGCAATTGAAATTCGCCATTGAAGTTCACGAATGGTTCGAGTTGAGTGAACTCGCCCCGCTGGTGGTTGTGTCCTTCCCTCCGACGTTTCCGTTGCTGAATACATTGCATCGTGCTCGTTGCGGGGCTTCTGCTCCCCTGACTCGTGAAAATGCTTTTGTCTCTTTTGCATTTTTCTTCCTTTCCACACACCCTCATGCAGCCGCGCAATCGCTCACATACACACGAACCGTGCCGCTAAGCGACAATCTCTGACACAATTTATGCCCGTGGGTTTATTGGCGTTCTGAAACGAGACATTCTGCGTTTATCGACTTTTCCAGAGAATCACTCGCGTCTTTTGTGTGCTTTTTGCTCGTTGCTTGCCCTGTTTCTCCCCACACAACGAGGGTGAGGCAAAAAAGAGCACGTCACGAGAGGCATCTTTGTTTTTTGCGTCGTTTTGCCAGTGCATACGATTCTCTGAGCACATGCTATTGTGAATAGTTCCTGGGTCTTTTACTCCTCCGAGACTTTTTTTTTCAAATGCCAGAATCGTTGAATCCTCTTTTAACGAAAATGAGAGAGCCTTCAGTGTTTCGGGGAGCCAAACCATGCATTCGAACAGGAAGGGAGCTCTGTCATATTCGGAGATGGTATTTTTTCCAAGCACAGAAAACCTCATGCAGCACACGCGCACTCGGTCAGAACTTTTTTCGAACAGTTCATTGTTCGTCGATTTGTATGAGAGGAAAGGGGGAGGGGGTTGTGGCTTCCCGAGCTCTCCTGGGGAATGCATCACTTTCTCTCCACACAGGACAATACACACGCATAAAAATGACCAATCTTCTAATTTCCGCATCTATTTTTGTCAGGCGCCGGCCTTAATTCTTCGACAATTAGGAAACAAAGCACGGATGCTGTTGTCTTCATGACGATGGGGGACTTCGCTACACAGCGTACAAATTCAATTTAATACCTCACCCGACTCGGATCTGCGGAGCGAGCAGCGGCCAGAGCGAACGAGTCAGCGAGCGCATAAAGGAGGCTTACAGAGAAACTCGCCGACCGAGTGACTTGATGTCGCGCGCACCCTGTCTATCTTCGTTTCTCGTATCCGGGCAATCCTAAGTGCGGTCGGTGTCTGTCTCCTGCGACTGTGTGTGTGCGTGAGTGGGTGCTCGCTGTATCCTGAATTCGTACTCGAGCGAACGAGCAGAAGAACCTGCTCGACTGTCGGTCTGTGTGTCTTCCAGTCGTAGCAGCCGGGGCAAACAGTTAATAATTTAGAACATTCTGATGTTGCTGCTTTCCGTGACAACAGCTAGACTTTCACCAAGCGGAGAATCATACTCCCGGGTAACAGACAGAGGCTCGGTAGCGGTAGGACCAAAGGGGGAATTTCAGTTTTCGCCGCGGGTCAATTCGAAAATTATTTTCCAATCTCCGCATTAGTTGGCGATCGATATCGACACTCACCTCGATTGTCTCGCTGGTTATTGAAATCATTTACTCTGAGAGTTGTCGGTGGCACAGTGGAGCTCGGAGTCATGTCGCGATCCGACGATTGCGCCGCTTTACGGACTTTGGGTCCGCCTGAATGCTCGTTGTTGCCGTCGCTGTCTCCGAGCTGGAGTTGGGCGGAGACATGAGCTTCTGGGATCGGCAAAGACTCCGAATTCAAAGCAGCGGGCTCCGGGAGTGGAGGAGCTTCCGTAGAGGTTGTCGTCGTGGGATTGAGTAGAGGTAGAATGGTCGAAGGGCCCTCCGCAGCCCATGCCGAAGCCGTCAGCAGAAGACAAGCTCCGAAGAACTGTGGTAGAAATTTTTTCTCGTTAGGCACGAGCACTGGCTGTTGACACTCGAGAGAACTCAACGCCGATTCGATAATTATCCAAGAGCGGTACCACAGCAGCTCATTCACGGAATCATTGACGAAACACCTGCCTTGCTCTGATGCATCGCGCTGGCCTTTGGATGTTCGACTGTGACTTCGACCGGCTCGCTCAGATTCGAACCGGGGTTTCAGTCCTCTCTCGAAGCTTTTGTGTCAACTATTGGGTATTGATAACGAAAAACCACCGGCGACATTCTATTCATCGAAACACAACACAACGGAAGCGAATCGCGTGGCTGTCAGAGCAGGCCGCTGCTCGAAGCCGGCACGAAGTCTGCGAGGAAAAAAAACGGGAGAGATCGCAAACGCTCCGGTTCGGACGGCTGTCCGGGGAAAAACTCACCAGTCGTCATCGATAATGTATGCTCTGCATCGAAGTAACACGTGTGCGCTGGCAGAACAAGCACTGATTCATATTGTATTATATTTATCTGGATTACTCGGTCAACCCCGGAAAACATGTCCGAACGTCCCGGGACTCTTTTGTTCGAGGACTCGGGAACAGCTCCTACGTCACTGAAGTTTCCTCTGGGAATCGGAGGGAATGAGCATATCCGTTGGCTGGATCGGCGAATTCCCACACAATAATCCCGCGACGTTTTTCGGTGAAAACTTCCAGCCCTGAGTTTCTTGCGCGGAAAGATTTTCCCCCACGTTGACCTTGCGGAGACACTCTCAGGTGTCGAACAGGGTATTAGATTCGAACTCACCGATTCGGTGATCGGACGTCGTGGTCCGAGAACGGTGACGTGAACCAGTTGGCGTATCCGAGCCGAATGACCAAGGAGATCGTGTTATCCAGAAATGCATGAGGCTGAACAAATCTCGTCTCAATGAAGTCAGCGAACCGCTCAACCAACCATTTCAAGGATGGTCCGGGTGAATTGAATTCTGGCTCCAGTTTCGCAGTGCGTAAGCGTCATAATGGCGTCCCCCGTTTGGCAAGCAAGTTTGACATTCGGAAGTGATTCAATCTCATTCACCAGCGGCATTTGCTGATTCACCAACAGGCTCCGTATGATTTATTCTATTATGCCCGACAGACTAGTACACTGCAAGAACTACATCACAATCACTATCCTGAGTGCCAGACTCGCCTTGAAGTCTCAAGCATCCAAGGTAATCGGTCTCATCGACGGAATCATCTTCTTCCACATGTGATTTAACGTTCGAGACGGTTCTCGCTCCCGAGCCGCTCGACTATCTCGCGTGTCTCCGAAGTCCCATTACGATTCAAGTTTGATGTCACTCCCGAGCTGAGTCGCACCATGAGCACGGCATGTTTTTCTCGTTCACCTTACCTGGACAGTTCTTCGAATGTGTGACGCATCTCTAGTGTCTGGGTAGCGACACCGGCTAGGAATTCTTATGTATACTGATCGACAATTGCTTTTGAAAAATTCATCGGTCTGTCGACGGAGAGCTCCACTAAGTCATGCAGCTTCCGACGAGATTTAGAAATTCATAGAAAACACAAGTATCACACGACGGGCCATCTCATCTATGGATTGGTGGCAAACAACTCTCTGACTCTCTTCTCCGCCCAGTCAGCCACGGTAATCGACCATTCTAGCTCGAGCATAATTTATCACCCGATGGCGGAACCGTTGACTGACGAGCCAACAATGGCGCGCTCGTATATGGATCGCCGCTGCATTATGCTGTCTCGTGTTCCGCCCGCAGTTTGACCAACACTGGAAGCTCACTGTGTCATATCGTTGACCGACTCGCTCTTTAGAGAAGACGCTCCCCGGACGGGCCACTCGATGAGGTGGTTACGTGAGTTTCCCCCGTCAGCGACTGCGCAGCGAAAATCAAGAACATCTCAGTCGGTTAACGATCTGACATGGGCGGCAAAAGCCACGTCGACGTTGACAACAACGACAAAAGCGGAAAACTCCCGTGAAAGTGAGCTTTACCCGAAAGTAGTGGCCACACAATACTGAGGGTCTATTCATCACTTCTAATGTCAGTTCCGCATGCATTCTGTGTGTTTCTCGTTGCTGTTGGAGGGCACTCAGTCGTTCACTATGAGAGCCGCGAGTCCACCTGTTGACGAAGCCTCGACGTCCTCGAGGTGACGAACATCTGCTTCGGACACCCTCTTTTCCGGGAAGGAGGCGAGTTTTCATCGACTGCGACCGCCACCGGAATTCTCTCGCACACTGCAGTGACTTTCCGAGGATTGCGGGGCAGAGAGCGCTTATCGCGCAAATATGTGGACCTGGAAGATAAGCACAAAGGATACCTTTACTCCTCGCGAAGTAAATCGAGGCATTGACTAGAATATAACAATTTCAGGTATATACATGGGCCGGAGGGGGGACCTCAATTCCCCTCTTTCTGGAGCTCTGTCTTCTGGCCTCGAGCCAAGAAGTCACGAGACAATCTCCACCGACGATAATATATGACTGAAGGTCGTGAGACATAGAAATCACGTCACGTCACATTCCAGTCGGGAGGATACGAGCTTCCGGTGCGAGTTTCGGTAAGCGACTCCGAGGCTCCGAGCGATTTTTCCCCGCGCGAGAACTTCAGGGTGACGGTCACCGTGTAGTGCCTGGCAGAGAATCAGGACGAAAAGCGTCGATAACGAATACTCACATCGCTTTTTTCCTACTCCGCTGTTGTCATTGGATTGATCATGGAGAGGGATTTCATTGCCTGACTGAGGAGAGAGCAAACGGAAAAAAGGCCTTTGGTCGCTCATTAGAGGAGTCTCACTCAGTCAGATGAATCGATCTTGCCTCGATTCTTCCGTCGAGAAGAAGAGACAGGACGAGAAGGAGGCAGGCTATGTGCAAGCCTCGCAGCAGCCAAGCTCCAGTCGAGCTAAATTAAAGGAAGTCATCGTTAGTACACCGTAGCCCTCTAAGAAGACGGGCGGCCTTCCCCCGCACGGCCTCTGACGGTCGGTCCAACTTCGCCTCCGTCGGCCCTCGCCGTGAGTAAGCCAATTCCAGCCACGCGGCAATCATCGTATTCCCCGCGGAAACGAAGAGACTAGAACATCAATCGATGTTTTCTCTTATCGCCATGACTCCCTCGACTTCCAAAGACTGCCGGCCGTAGCCGGCATCGTACTCGTGAAAGAATATAGTTCTTTCCTCGCGTCATCCCCGGCTTTTTGTCTCACATCCGAGTCGGAAGAGCGCGGATCCTTGCGGGCATGAATAAAGATCTTGTTCGGGTGCGACTTCGATATGATTATCCACATCGAGTGATCACATTGGAAGGTGTTGCGCCGATGTGCGCCTGGAACATGAGCCGAGAACATGGATATTCTCGATCAAAACAATTCCGGCTGTCAGTTGGTCTCAGTCGCCTCGGTGAGCATCGACTGGAGCGTGGTCCTAAATGGTAACGATGAGCTCGGAGGCCTCATTCCGATCGAGCCAATATTTTCCTGGAAATAAAAGTCTATTCTTGTTCCAACTGCTTGGCCGATTATTCGGAGCGCTTAGGTCGAAGCCGCAATCTCGGAGTTTTTTGCAGTCGACCCCGTTCCTCGTTATCTGGTGTCGAAAAGGGTCATCGGATGGTTGAGGACCCACTCGCGGGACTTGGCTGCAGACTTCAGGGACTCAGCATCCTCTGTAAAGGACCGAATCGATCTACGATCCAGTGTTGTTGTATAGAGGATGCTGTTGTCAGTGCCTGCTAAAATTCGCCCCGGAGAACTCGAGGACAGCGGTTCGCAGAACAAAACTCGGAGACGGCGAAGTCGGTACGGGGCCTCGGTTTCCTTGAGTAGACATCGGCTTCGCAGATTTTCCGAGGGTCATTATCGCCGCGCGACTTCGTCTGCTCGTCTCCCCCGTTTCGTAAGACGCCTCTTCTGCCTCGCCTTGTCCCCCGGCATCGAGGAGGGAAAATGCGACTGACACGAATTAATTATTCTGTGTGCCGCTCTAGGCACAAATCCCGAATGACATGGGAACAATCTGAATAAATCTTTGCTTCGTTGTAACCTTGCGCAACAACAATTTCAAAAACTGTTCTTTCTCCTTATCCACGCAGTCTGATGACACAGAAACTCAGTACGGGCACGGGAATGATTTCCCGGATCTCCATCCTTTGCGATTTCTCAACGTCATTTCCATCACAAGCTCCAGGCTCTTGTCTCGCGTTCGGTCGAATATCGAGGTTTTCCACCGAGTGGGAATTCCGGGAAACCTCCAAGGCCTGCGCAGTGACTGACGGTCCCGGACGTCATATTCCTCGGGAAGCCTCGAGCACAGCTATACCCACGCACGAGGGTGTAAGTCGCTGTTCGGTTGAAGTTTCGCAAAAAGAGAGAATCATTATATGGGGTGCGAGATTTCTCCGTCTCCAGAGATGCAGCACGACAAGCCCATGACCATAACGACGGAATTGGGGCCCCTGTTTTATGACGCGCCGCTTATTACGGAGCCGAGCAGTCCTATCGAGTTGCCGAGCTATCCTCTCGTCTCCGGTTACAGAGACACTCATCCATAGGCGTCAGAGGCTGGAATATTGCGAGCCATTCGAAGCGCTACCATTGAGACGCCTGATTCGAGGTTCCCTCTGTAACGCGATAGGCCTCGTTGGATGTCAGAGAACGATGGCTTCTTCATACATACATAGCCTCCTCCTCCTCCCTTGTTTGCAGCGCCGAGCTTTCTAGACGACGGAGAAGTCGTCTCCGGAGGGAAAATAATGTAACGCGAGTATCGGAATCTCTTGGCTCAGAATGACCTCGGCGGGGCCGGATCTGGCGCTGTTCTCAATTTTCGGTCGGGTCACCCGAGAGCCTCGACTGAAGTATCGCAAGGAGCCCAGAGAGGAAGTCGACGGACACTTCGAAGACCTAAAGGGATAGAAGTAGAGATCATCTCCGTTGATCCATTCATTGATCAGCTGGAATTCAATCCAACCGTTATTTTTGCTCATTTTGGAAGGGAAGCCTTTGCCTGCTGGCCATTGAATCGGGTACCCCCTGCCCCTCGATCACTATGGAGCGGAATCCCCGGAGGAAATTCACTGCCCGGTTCCTACGCCCTGATTCAATCATCATTGAACACGATTGAAGAGGATTCGCAGA